TCCAGGATTAGCCTTCGAGTATGATAAAATAAGGGGTGAGTGATCGGAGTGTTCTTTAGTAAGGGCAGTGACTGTTGAGTGAGTTGCATCTAAATGAATTGGTCACAAACCAAGAAATGATCGATTTTACTTAATTTAGTGTTATCATCTCTTAGATAAGTGTATTTACAGCCACCCATGGCAAATTCCTTTAGACCAAATTCTCTAATGAAGTTATTAAAATTAGAGGAGGAATATTTGCAGAAGGAGGATCTTAGTCTTTCTTCTGGTTTACGAACAGCATTGAAATCTCCTAAAATTACCCAACTTCCACTTATAAAATCCTTTAAAGACAATATTTCCACCCACAGCTCCCGTTTATCTGAGATGGATTGGGGTCCATAAACATTGACCACCGAGATGATCCCTGAAAACCCCTTCTAATGTCCTGAAATCGCAAGGAAATTCCTACTTTTGACAACATTATGCTTTGAGAAGATCAATGGGTCCCAAATACTGAGAAGTCCACTAGATCTTCCGTGAGATTCAACAAATTCTAACTCAAAATTCAGATTACCCCAACATCCCTGAATGTCAATATTTCTTGAATCAACAACATGTGTTTCTTGAATTCCAATGAAATCGATCTTGTGACTCATTTTGATCTTTCGTATCCAATCCACCTTATGGACTTCGCTTATTCCCCTGATATTGAGACTTATGGCATTCATTTGGCCATTTCCTTAACACCTTCGTCCTCTTTATTGACCTCAAGAAAGTCATACAATTTGTCTTTGTCACAGTTTTCGAGTTAGAAGCCAAGCGAACTCCCAAATTTGACAAATCCCGAGATATTTGACGCAATGGAGCACGTATCAGAGCAAACGGAAGCGTCCTGTGAACCCACATTTGAAAGAGACTTGTTTAAGTCAAATGAGATTGTGGGAGTAGGAATTGGGACACCGTTATCAATTCTTCTTCTTTTGATATATGAGTCGCTGAATTTGGGTAGTGGGGCATTGGTGGTTCCTGTCAATGGGCCTAGAATGGTTAGGCTAGAATAGGGGTGAGCATTTAGACCAGTGGACCGGACCGGACCGGTGAACCGGACCGGACCGGACCGTTTTTTTGGACCCCTGGGCCGGTTCTCGGTTCTAAGATTTCTATCTGGTCGGGTCCGGTTTTTTTTCCGGTTCGGTCCGGTTTTTACCGGGTTTAGAACCGGTTGGACATGTAATCTATAACGTTTTTTAAACACCCACAACTCATTCGTTTTAAGTCGGATTGACCTCTAGTTTTTTCCAACATTTATTTTATAGTTTGTAGATGAATTTAGACTATAATTTTATTTATTATGATATTATATTTACTGAGTTACAATCCTTCAAAGTAGAGCTATCAAAGCTGAAAAAATTCAGTTTTTCAGCAAGATTTTGTAATCTGTGACATTTTTTAAACACTCATAACTCATTCGTTTCAAGTCGGATTGACCTATAGTTTTTTCCAACATTTAGTTTAAACTTTGTAGATGAATTTAGACTATAATTTGGTTTATTTTGGTATTATATTCACTGAGTTACAATCCTTCAAAGTAGAGCTATAAGAGCTGAAAAAAATTCAGTTTTTCAGCAAGATTTTGTAATCTGTGATGTTTTTTAAACACCCATAACTCATTCGTTTTAAATCGGATTGACCTATGGTTTTTTCCAACATTTATTTTACAGTTTGTAGATGAATTTAGACTATAAATTTGTTTATTTTGGTATTATATTCACTGAGTTACAATCCTTTAAAGTAGAGTTATCAAAGCTGAAAAAAAAATCAGCTTTTCATCAAGATTTTGTAATATGTAACGTTTTTTAAACACTCATAACTCATTCGTTTTAAGTCGGATTGACATCCGTTTTTTCCAAAATTTAGTATATAGTTTGTAGATGAGTTTAGACTATAATTTTGTTTATTTTGGTATTAATTCACTAAGTTGCAATCCTTCAAGGTAGAGCTATAAAAGCTGAAAAAATTCAACTTTTCAACAAGATTTTGTAATATGTGACGTTTTTTAAACACTCGTAACTCATTCGTTTTAAGTCGGATTGACCTCCGGTTTTTTCCAAAATTTAGTTTATAGTTTTTAGATGAATTTAGACTATAATTTTGTTTATTTTTGTATTAAATTCACTGAGTTACAATTCTTCAAAGTAGAGTTATCAAAGCTGAAAAAATTCCGCTTGAGTGGAAGATTAGATTATGAGTTTATGAAGTTTATTAGTTTGATTGATTTTAAAGTTTAAACTATGATTTTTGTTATTACGATAATACTTTTGTATGTTTGTCTTAAAATTGTATAACTTTTGTTGGTGAACTTGATTTATATGCTAGTTGCTTTTATTTGGAAAATTAATTTTTGCAAGTTATAATATTATACATCAATGTAGATTAGTTATGTATGAAACGGAAAAGTATTAATTTTGCAAGTTTTAATATTATATGTAACGACCCAATTTTCACGTCCAAAAATTTCGTTTTTAAAACATTACTTTAGAAAACATTAATAATTAAAACATTGTTGATCAAACCACATCACAACGTAAACCATGTCTAAAAGCCAAATCATACAACAAATCAAAATATCAGAGTAATAATCCCAGAGAAATATAATAGATGTGGAAACCAGTGTGTGTGCATGATGTGCAGCTACCGCGCCGGCTCCTTCCCCTTCGATGAAGAGATACCTGAAACCAAAACTGTACACTGTAAGCACAAAGCTTAGTGAGTTCCCCCATTGTACCACATACCATAATCACATAACATACATAAATTATCAGGCATATCTAGGTGCCCGACCTACCCCTTCGGTCCTCTCGACCGGATACTGCCTAGCATATTTGGGTGCTGGCCTCCCCTTCGGTCCTCTCGACTAGATACTGCCTAGCATATCTGGGTGATGGCTCCCTTCGGTCCTCTCGACCGGATACTGGGGACTATTTCACCCCCTACTACTACCACATAACACATATATCACATAGTCTATCTAGCATGGCTGGGCATGACCGCCCCTTCGCCCTATCGACCGGTGTTCTGGGGGACTATCTCCCCCCTACTATCACTAACACATAAACATAACACATGTAGTAGCAACCCTAGATGAATATCACAAAGACAATCATCTAATCACACATCTCCTACCGGTGGGTCTAATACCGGTGGGTCGGCATTGTGGCCTTAGACCCACCGCTACTGGAAGGTAACTCACCTCGTAGTAGCTGCTGATCTGTGTGGGAATAGTCTGTCTGCTGCTGCTGCTCCGGAAATCCTCCGGCTGTAATTCCCACCAAACACTTAGTCAAATACTGCTAACTGTCCTTTGGGTAAAATGATCATTTTACCCCTGATCATGCCCTAAGTCAAAATCAGAGTCAACTTTCAGTTGACCCAACTCGCCGAGTCCCTGTCCAAACGACTGGCCTGGATTCTGTTTCTACTCATCGAGTTAGGCGTTGACTCGACGAGTTCTCCTTCCAAACTGATGTTCAAGTCCTTCATCCTACTCGCCGAGTTGTATGAACAACTCGCCGAGTCTATTCTTGATTCTAAGAAGATTGCCTTGAACTCGCCGAGTCTGGGCATCGACTCGCCGAGTTCCCTTATGGGTGAGTTTTGGCTTCCAAGTTCCAACTCACCGAGTCCACCATGGACTCACTACACAACTCGGCACAACGAAAAAGGGGACAACTCGGAGACTCGCGACTAGACTCGCCGAGTCAGCTGAGCGACTTGCCGAGTCTGCTTCATGCAAGAGCCATAAACGTGATTTTGCTCGAATCCAGTCCATGTCATTCATAGATTTGGGTTCCTAGAGCATGAATAACACGTAAAGTTTCCAACTTTACGTGTAAATATCCATCCATGAGGATTTTAGGGTTCAAAATGCACCAAAAGAGTAGATCTAAGGTCTTCATGCAACATGGGTCCATAAAGGCAGTAGATCTGAGCTCCTGGAACTCAACCATGCCTAGATCTAGAGGTTACTCAGCTTATTACGAACCCCCAAACATACACAAGCTTGGAAATGGTTCAAGAAAGACTTTGATGGAGCTATAAGAGACAATAAGCATGAAAACGAGGGGAAAATCGAGTCATACCTTAGGGAACACACTGAGATAGCTCAAAGATGCTTGAACTCCTCTTCTTCTTCTTGATCTACTCTTTTTCCCACTCCAAAACTTCAAGAGACCACACCAAATGCTTCAAACTCACAAAGAAACAACTCTTGAACAAGGTATAAGCTCTGAGGGTGAATGGGGGCGAGATTGGGGCAGAATGAGAGTTTAAATAGGGTGCAAACCCCTGAAACTTAGGGTTTCATCCAACAGTGGTGACTCGCCGAGTCCAAGATACGGACTCGCCGAGTTGCCAACTTAAAACGTGTCCCGGGTCCCGGCTCTACTCGGCGAGTCGGACCTATGACTCGCCGAGTCCAAGGCTAAAAATGGAAAATACTCAAATAAGATTTACATACCAGGAACCAGGTGCTACATTATACATGAATGTAGATTACTTATACTCTATGCAATTAAAGTTATACCGGTCCAAACGGGTCCAAAAACCGGAAAACCCGGACCTGGACCTGGACCCGGACACGGACACAGATACGGACACGACTCATCCGGTCCGATCCATGCTCCACAAAATTCTCCATAACCGGTCCGGTCCGGTCCAGTCCAAATGCTCACCGCTAGGCTAGAATGGTTATGATTTCGGATGGGTCTAGGAGAAGTTTAGTAGGTCGGAGTGGATGGCACAGATTGGGTATCCAGAGTCCGATCCGAAACTGCTACCGGGTTGTTTCTGATATTTTCGGTATTCACATGGGCATTAAAGTCCCTTCTTGATCCTATACTTGTAAGGGGATTTTCATTTAATTCGCCATTAACAAGAGGCTTTTCAGCTACAATGGATTGCCTGGGAGATGAATCGATCAAGATTGCAGTTGCTACAAGCGCTGGAACACCTTGTTCAGCTCACACCATCATCGGTTCTTCTTCTCTGATTTCACCCTCTTCCAGTATCTGGTCATTGTTGTTACACCAAGTGTTCGATACCCCATCATCTAGAGATTCCACCGATCCTTTATCAGATGACTCCTCTTCTTCATCGACACTCGGAGGGGGTTCAGGGAATAAACGATTTTCAAAAGGCTCCCAATTTGAAGAATCATGTTCAATGATGCCCACCTTGAATATCCTTCCACCAACCTTACATTCAATTTCTTCATTGATCTGTTTCCATACATTAGTTAGAATTGTAATGTAACACACAGAGACATCCATTGAGGACCATTGGTGACCATCTGTCTCCACCACTCTGCCAATTGCAGTTACGTTTTCGATTGATCGTAAGAATACCGGAAGACCTGTAATCTTTGTGTGGATGAGTCTTTCTGTCGGAACATAATTTTGTATGGACCCAAACTTCAACCAAACAAACCACCTATTCCAATTGTGTTTGTTTTTTAGATATTCTTAAGCCTCCACTTTCCTGTGAAATTTAAGGATTATCCGAAGTCCACCGGCATAATGAACATCCGCAAAAATCACTTTCTCTGCGTTGAGAAGTTTCGGTAGGTCCTTAAGAAGTTCGATATCCTTAATATCACCAGTTAGCAATGATTGGAAGCTTGATTCCACGGTGGGAACTTTGTTGAGATGCACAGGTGTGATACGCAAGGGATGTGGGGGAGGGTATTTATGGGAATTACCGGAGACCACATCAGCATAAGAAATGCCTGCCTGCAGCCTTGATGTTGGGGATGATATATGATGTTGGGGCTTGTGGTTAGGAATACCAGATCTAACTCTAGTTGAGAAATTATTGTTCTTCTTCACATACTTGGAAACATTAACTTTGACGATGCAATGGCCACATTTTACCTTGTTTAGAGATTTGAGCAGGGCTTCAACATCCTTTACTCCTTCAAATCTTATAAATGCAAAATAGAATCCACTTTTATCCTTCCGACCTAGTATGTAGATATCCATTAGTTTCCCATATCTGTGAAATGATTCAGATAACATAGGCTTCGAGATATCATTTTGTGGGTATGCAACGTAGAAGGTGGTGATTGCCCTGTTCATCGGAGTTTTTCGCCTGACTTCCGTCCATCCGTTCTCCTTGGGGTTGCGACCTTTCGGTTCCATAAGATTGAAAGGCTGTTGCTTGGATTTTTTATTGTTGGATTATTTTAATAATAGGAACATAAAACACCGAAACGTAACTTTGAATCTTTATCTTGAATTTGGTTAAACTAAACTTAAACAAGAAGAGATGATTACATACCTGAATCCACAGAGTTTTTCGGATCTGATTAGTATGGTTGGTTTTTCAGTTGCTCTTAAAAACTCTCTCGAAAATCTCATAGCAATAAGAAAATGAAATTCATGAGTATATTTTTGTATCTTTAATTTTTTTTCTCATGATGTGTTTATATACATGGAGATATAACAGAGGGTGAGAGATATTAGGATTTAAGAGAATCTGAGTTAACTCAAGAACTCAACCTACAAGATAAACATGGTAAGTTTATCTTTTCATTTATTAATAAAATTGGTCCATCAACAATTTAAATAATTTTAATAATAAATATGAAATTAATGATAACATTGTTTATATATATTTATTAGTGGTCCGAAAATATACAACGATATCCAACCAGACCTAAATAATTCTTATACTATATTATAAAGCATATTAGTCATATCTTGAATTTTAAGAATTATATATAAAACTTTTTGTACAAATCAACTATGCTAAAAGTGTATTTTGATAAAAGGTGCAGTTGTTGGTGATTTATAGAAATGTATTGTAACATCCATAAAATTCACACCAAATTTAAACTTTTTCAATCATAAAAAAAGAACCACATAGCATTGTTTACAAAATGTTTTCAAATCATTTTTCCATCAGAGTGTGCCAAAAATCATAACATGAGGATGAGGGGCGATACGGTCACGCCTTCGCCTTTCCACGATCTCATGAAGTACCTGAAACAGTAAACTGAAAACTGTAAGCCCGAGGGCTTAGTGAGCTACCCCCAAAATACCAACACCACACTGACAATACCATAACAGTAATAATCAATCAATCAACATGCATACTGGACCATTGGCCTGACTAGACTGCCCTACTGGGCCTACAGTCTGTCTGGATCTATCCCCAGCCTTCGGCATGACTGGTCCGCCACGTGGGCCTACAGTCTCCCCGGACCGCTCATAGGGTATGTTGGCCTTCAGCACAAAGCAAGACTACCTCAATCCAACCAACAAGCAAATAACCCTGTGCGCATAGCTAACATATACTAGCATATACAAACATCAAATATATATCTATCTTACTGATCACAATCATAGACTTCTCCTGTAACTAGAGTACCGACCTAGCAGGTCACTAACACACCAACCCCTACAGATCATAAAAGCATAACATACTGTCTATCTTGATTCCGAACTAACAAATCATAACCACATGCAACATACCATAACAATAACAACTAAAGTGTCGGCATTAGTGTCGTAGACTCTATCGATATAGTGAGGATAACTCACCTCGTAGATGTTGACTCGGAAGGTAAACTCCAACTCTCGGATCACTCGATACATGCCCCACCACCTATAACCGTAGTTCAATATACGCATAAGTGTTAAACCTTATAAGGTACTCCATAACCCAATAGCCAACCCCTGATCAATGGTCAAAGTCCTCAGTCATGGTCAATAATCCATGTTGACCTCAACTCGCCGAGTACACCCAGCTACCCGCCGAGTCCCTTGAAGCACAATCCAACTCGCCGAGTCATCGAGATGACTCATCGAGTTCCTTCGAATCCCGATCAGACCTTAAGGCCACCCGTCGAGTTCCCTCCCTAAGACTTCGACGGATATACTCGCAAACATATTCTTGGTTAAAACTCATCCAACTCGCCGAGTTGTTCTTCAACTCGTCGAGTCTCATGACAATCTTCATCGGACTCACCGAGTTGTTCAACCAACTCGTCGAGTTCGATGGTCATCTTCATGCGACTCGCCAAGTCCATTCAGTCCTCTTTCCATACATATCCATTTTTAGCCATGCAGCGGATCCAAATCACACATCCAAGCTTCTAGAGCATGCTTATCACGTAAAGTTGCAAACTTTACGTGCATGCATGGCTTTAAAGGCTCAAAATGTCAAATATAAGCTATTGATGGGTCTTTATGCACAAAGGGGACGTCAATCACGATTAAGCTGCAACTTTATGCTTCTAGAATCCAAAGAGAGTCCAAATCTGAAGGTACAACTTCAGATCTAGTCCATAGCTCATCATACCAACTTGATATTCTATGAAAACCTTAAAACTCACCCAATTAGGGAGATCTATAGGGAGAATGATGGATTGGGTACCTTTTGAAGTTGATATCTGACATGAGTGTTGATTCCCACACTCCAATTGCTTCAATCTCCTTCTCCTCCAAGTCTTCTCCCTCCAAGAACTCTCTTTCAAGCTTCAAACACACACGAATAAGGCTCTCACGGGTTCTTTGGAACTGTAAAGAGGTCCAGGGGAGGCTAAGGTCCCTTTAAATAGGGTTGCAAGCCTGGGAATTAGGATTTCACCTACCAGCTCCTACTCGCCGAGTCCCAATGTAGACTCGTCGAGTAGGTCACTTAACCCGCAATCCTTCTCACTGTTACTCGCCGAGTAGGGCCTAATTCAAAAACTTATATTAACAATACCTGAGAATCGGGGCGTTACATGTATAAGAGTGGTTGACTCTTGGTGTGTGTGTGTGTGTTAAGGAAGCTTGTGGGGAAAGGTAAAAAGTACAAAGAATGGTTAATGATTGATGTGACTAGTGACACAAAGAATAAAGCATGAATAATGAGTAGAATGTGTCATAGCTTTTGGGAAAAGTCAATGGACTCAACTTTTGTACTTTGCCTTAACTCTTAAGAAAAGGGGTGGGTTTTAATACTAAAATCCTTAGGATAAGTTTATTTTATGATCTTAGTGTGACAACTATCAAATTTCGATCAAGTCAAAGTCAACTAAAGTCAACAAGTCAAACCGTTTGACTCAATTTGCCCTTGGGTACTAGAATTTACATTATGAAATTTCTATACAACTCTCTATTCTAATGAGAGATCATAAATCAAAAAGTGCGAACATCTAGATCTCGTTAACCTAAAATTGTGGTACGTGGCTAGCCAAACCGATAAGACAATGTTGCATACTCATCGGGAGTGTGTAAGATCCTTAAACAAGTCTTAACAGTGTTTACGGACCTTGCATTGCGAAGCCGGACACTCACAAATGCCACTTGAAACCTCTCTCAATCGTTTTCACTCTATCTCTCTCTATTTGAAATCTCTCTAAGTATGTGAAATCTCTCCCAAAACTCTCTTTGTATAAGAAATCTCTCTAAGTATGTGAAATCTCTCCGAAATCTCTCTAAGTATGTGAAATCTCTCCCAAAACTCTCTTTGTATGAGAAATCTCTCTAAGTATGTGAAATCTCTCCCAAATCTCTCCAAGTATGTGAAATCTCTCTCAAATATCTCTCTGTATGAGAAATCTCTCCAAGAATGTCAAATCTCTCCTAAATCTCTCCAAGTATGTGAAACCTCTCTCAAATATCTCTTTGAGAAATCTCTCCAAGAATGTCAAATCTCTCCCAAATCTCTCCAAGTATGTGAAATCTCTCCCAAATCTCTCTCAAAAGTTTCCCGTAACTTTTTAGAATCATTCGGGTCATTCCGACCCTTAACCGGGTCAAAAACGACTTAAAACGGGGTAAAAACGAGAAAAATGGACCTTAGGAACCGAAACCCTCTTATAAGAGGCGAAGTCTCTTAGGACCCGAAGGTCTTCTTAGGGACCGAGAGCAAGGAGGACCCGAACCCTCCTGAGCCGAAGGTCCTCTCAGGGCCGAACCTCGCCCAGGAGGAACCGAACCCGAAAGATCCTTGCAGGCCCGAACCTCGCAGAAACACCCGAACCCGAAGGCTCCTAGAACCGAACCCGAAGGTATTGTTCCTCTACTGTTCATTCGGGTTATTTCGGTTCTAATGCCCATGACCGAACCCTTCGCTTCCTCGCCTCCTCTCGCTTCCTCGCCCCCCCTTCGTTTCCCACTGTTTCACTTCGTTTCCGGCTACAGTCCTCAGCGGGGACCGAACCTCGGCCTAGGACCGAGAGGTCTCGCTGGGAACCCATTTTCTCCCGGTTTTCGCGTAGTTTTGCGTTTAAGGCCCGTTTTTAATTATTTTAACGCGGGATTTTCACCCAAAATCATATTTTAACATAATAAACCCTAAATATTCACAATTTAATCATATTTTCATAAAAATCTTTATTTAAATAATAAAAGCAAGTGGGTAAAGTACAAAGAGGTGGAGTGTTGACTTTGCTTTACCTTATGACACAAGCAACCACTCCCACACCCACTCTATGACCAGCCACACCTCCCCACCTTACCTAGGTCACATCAATGTCCTTTCCACTCAATTATCACTCTTTCCCACGTTTTTGAGAGCTGAATATTCATCCTCTCTCCTCACTTCTCTCATTTGCTCTCATTTCACCAAGAAGATCAAACTCTTTCCTCTCTCACTTTCTCTCTCTAGAAATTCGAGATTCAAGGGCTGATCTTGGGTTTTTCCTCCACATTTGGTAACCATAATCCATTCTCCTTATGATTATCTCACTTATTTCCACTCGAATCATGGATATCTTACACAAACTCCATCATATTTGTGTTAGAGCTTCGAATCTTCAAGTGATTCTTCAAGTGTTCTTGGGTTGAACACTTCTCTTCTTCAACACTTATCTACTGAAATCACTTAAGGTGAGTTCATACCCCTACATTTTCATGTTTTCTCAAGTTTTTAAGGGGGGAATATAAATTAAAACACCAAGAACATAACTAAATTTTTCTAACAGCCTTCATCAGAAAAGTTCAACCCCATTCACGGACTGTTTTGGGCATCTTAAACATTTTTCTTTTCAAAACTGTACAAGGAAAAATAGTTCAAACTTTTAGCTTTAAAATGAGTACTTGCACATCTCCATACGATTTTTCTACAATTTATGGTGATTTTTACAAAACTGTCTATCATTTCAAACAACAATCCGGACCAGTCTGTGATTATGGACTTTTTCACC